CCTCCTCCTCCTCCTCCTCCTCCTCATCTTCCTCGTTCCCAAAATCCCCATCCCCGTTGCGTGAGAATCCCCCCTTGCAGGAGTCCACAAACAGGGGTAGGGTAGTGGTGGGGCACCCCCTAGAATTGCATGCAGCTCATCATAGAAGTGGCATGTCTGGGGGTCTGACCCGGAGCAGCCGTTTGCCTCTGTTTTTTTGGTAGGCTTGCCTGAGCTCTTTAAGTTTCATGTGGCACTGCTGTGGGTCCCTGTTGTAGCCTCTGTCCTTCATGCCCTTGGAGATTTTTTCAAATATTTTGGCATTTGGTCTTTTGGAACAGAGTTCTGATAGCATGGATTCGTCTCCCCATACAGCGATCAGATCCAGTACCTCCTGTTCGATCCATGCTGGAGCTCTTTTACGCTTCTGGGACTCCATGGTTACCTCTGCTGATGAGCTCTGCACAGTCACCTGTGCTGATCAGCTCGCCACGCTGGCCAAACAGGAAGTGAAATTCAAAAGTTCGCAGGGCTTTTCCTGTCTACCTGGCCAGTGCATCTGAGTTGAGAGTGCTGTCCAGAGCGGTCACAATGGAGCACTCTGGGATAGCTCCCGGAGGCCAATACCGTCGAATTTCGTCCACACTACCCCAAATTCAACCCAACAATGTCAATTTCAGCGCTAATCCCCTCATCGGGGAGGAGTACAGAAATCGATTTTAAGAGCCCTTTAATTCAACACAAATGGCTTCATCATGTGGACGGGTGCAGGGTTAAATCGATCTAATGCTGCTAAATTCGACCTAAACTCGTAGTGTAGACCTGGGCTGAGAGTACGTATCAGTAATTTAGGGTAAACTATGTTAAAGGGATGGGGTAATTATCCCAAAATCAGGCATTACAAACCAGGAAATTCAAAGCAAAATATGTTAAGAAACTCTGAGACATCATCACTAAATACACAGAACCTCCACAGGTCTGCCTGGTGATACCAAATATGATTAGTACAAAGTAGGGCTTGTGGTCCCAGAGTAAAGTGATTTAGCCACAATTTCATAATGAAAGAAATCACAAGAAGGGGAGAAAAGACTAAAATTCAGTGTGGCAAAAACCACCTTCCCTGGGAACATGGTGTGTGTGTGCAGGGAGTGGGGCATTTCAAGGGAAAAATCATATAATCTGCAAGGTTCACAGATTCTCCATGAGAAGAAAGCAGAATAATGCCCACCTCTGACAGGAGGACTGTGGGACTTATCCCTGGTAGGCACCAGGCAGTGGGTGCTATGTAAATAGACAGACTGAGAACAGAGACCCTGGAATACTCAGGAGGAATTGTGTACTGGGATGACCTTTTGATTTCTTTGCCACTCCTAGAACAAGGTGCATCTCATGCAGAGATTAGAGCAAGATGAGGCTCTGGTCTGTTGGTTTCCTGCTCTTTCTATCTTGCTCAGCACTGCCAGATGAGGAGTTGAGCAAAAGCCCATGCAGGTGAACTGCAAAGGGAAAAAATGGAATTTGTGCCATTATTTTGCTTCTTTATGGAGAATAGAGAGTCCTGAAAGAACTTTTTTAAGTAGGAAGGAGTGGGTGGGGCTCTGCTTAATTTTTAATCTTAGAACTATCAGGAATGCCAAATCTCATCTTCCCTACTTTTTGCTGCCAGCTCCTTACAGGACACAGATACATGGAGTCGGAGTTCTCTGAGTGGGTTATTGAAGAGTCAGAGTGTTGGATCTTTAACAAAAAGAGGTTTTCTCCAAACTATTTGTTAGGCATTTTATATTGTTAGGTGTTAAAAAAACAGATTTTTTTATTCAAGCTGTGTAAAACTTTCTCCTCTTAATTAATCTGATTTCATAAGAATACACATTCTCCAATCCTCCATAGAGCCTTCCAGGAAAAAGAAAGTAGAAAAGACCTGAATTGTTATTGTAAAAGTCAGGCTGGAAAAAAATTAAACACAAACAAAAGCCTTCCAGGTCTTTTTAATCCATCAGAATAAAAGGGAAGGGGAGAGGAAGAAAAAAGCACACAAGCCCTTCCCCCCCCAAACCAATTTTACAGATTACCTTACAAGGTCCTTAAACCATTAGCAATTGAATGTAAGAGCATATCTAGTGACGTCTCTCCAGGGTTTTCTGCAGGATTTAGAGCTGGAGGGGATGGGCCAAAGCACGTGATAGATTACAAAGGGTCTGAAATGTCCTATGAAGAAACCCCCTCATGATATAAGCATAACGACTGTGAGTAAATGCTGAATCAATGGGATGAGCCCCTTCACCACATGGTGTGGAGTCAGGCAAAATCCCGTGAGGAAAAGGGACCCAAAGCAGGATTGTTCCCTACAGATGCTCCAGGAGTTTGCCCAAGAGATGGAAAAGCCCCATCAGATAGCATCTAATCCATTTCCCCATAGGACACAGTCAGGGAGTCAGCGTGGGAGCAGAGAGGTTGATCTGTGAGCCAACAAGGTAAATGGCGGTTGAAACAGCGTGAACAAAGGCAAGACAGAGTGTGAGTAGGGCCCTACCAAATTCACGGCCATGAAAAACGCATCATGAACCATGAAATCTGGTCTGCCCCCGTGAAATCTGGTCTTTTGTGTGCTTTTACCCCATACTATACAGATTTCATGGAGGAGACCAGTGTTTCTAAAACTGGGGATCCTGGCCCAAAAAGGATTTGCAGGGGGGTTGCAAGATTATTTTAGGAGGGGGTGCGGTATTGCCACCCTTACTTCTGCACTGACTTCAGAGCTGGGTGGCCTGAGAGTGGCAGCTGCTGGCTGGGCGCCCAGCTCTGAAAGCAGCGCCCCGCCAGCAGCAGCGCAGAAGTCAGGGTGGCAATACCATACCATGCCACCCTGACTTCTGCGCTGCTGCCTTCAGAGTTGGGCAGCTGGAGAGTGGCGGCTGCTGACTGAGGGTCCAGCTCTGCAGGCAGCAGCACAGAAGTAAGGGTGGAAATATCATACCATGCCATCCTTCCTTTTGTGCTGCTGCTGACAGCGGCTCTGCCTTCAGAGCTGGGATCCCGGCCAGCAGCCGAAGTAAGAGTAGCAGTACCGCACCCCCCCCCATAATAACCTTGCGAGCCCCCCCCGCCCCCACGACTCCTTTTTGGGTCAGAATTCTTACAATTACAACACCGTAAAATTTCAGGTTTAAATAGCTGAAATCATGAAATTTATTATTTTTAAAATCCAATGACCGTAAAATTGACCAAAATGGACCGTGAATTTAGTAGGGCCCTACGTATGAGGCAGCAACTGGAGTGGCAGCGGAGGTGGAGGGATGGCTGTTTGAGATTGGGGAAGAGGAGCAGGCTTGTATTAAGAGAGGAAGTACCGGAAAACAAAGAGAAGTTAAGAAGGGAGGGGATCATGAGAATGGAGGCAAAGGAAGTGAACAGCCAGGAGGGGATGGGGCCAATTAAGTAGGAGGAGAACTTAGAAGTGGAGAGCCTTCAAGGAAGCACAGAGTCTGGATCAAAGGAACAGAGAGAACTGTGGGGGGAAGAGGTAGTAGAATTTGGTAGATCTTGTTGATCAGCACAGGCAAGTGATCCTGCACAGAGGGGTTGCAGGAGCAAACTGGGTTTGTGGCACAATTCCTAGGTGACAGACGGACTATGGGGGCTGGGGCTTAAGAGGCACATTGAACAGTGACCAGAACAGACTGAATCAGTCCAGTCCCCTGAACAGCAGAACGCAAGAGTCACAGCTTGTGTAACAGGAACATTAGGGCTGTGAAATAGTGTACATTAGAGATCATGGAAATAGCACCTTGGACGCTGGCACTAGCTGCACTCTGGTAGTGTCTGGACAGTCACTGACACCGAGCAGGGATGGATTCAACCTGAATGTTTCCCAGCTGATGCTTGTAAACATTGTGGATTCAAAGCAGGGGTGCTGGAACAATTTGTGTACTGGGGGTGCTGAGAGCCACTGAATCAAATTGTAAACACTGTATATAATGGAAACCACTTCAAGTCAGGGGTGTAGCAACACCCCCTGCACTCCTAGTTCCTGCACCTATGGTTCAAAATGATTCCTAGGAGCTGGTTCCATGGAAAAGCTTAACTGACAAGAGATCAAAAATGTCAATGCTGGATCCACAGATGCTGTTCAGATAGCACGGTGCAGCCACAGCATGGCCTGCCTGGGTCAACACTTAGCACAGCACTGCCACAACCCCAGCACAGGGCAGCCACAGCGCCAGCACGGCCTGGCCAGGCTAGCGCCTCTCATCTGGAGCTGCTGGTCTCCGCAAAGCAGGCCATTTCTGGCAGGAGTTCTGGAACAGCTTTTATAGTGGGGGTACTGAGAGCCATTGAACCAAACTGTAAACCCTGTCAGGGCCGGCTCCAGCATTTCTGCCGCCTCAAGCAAAAAAAAAAGAAAAAAAAAGCCGCGATTGGCGGCGGCAGTTCAGCGTTAGGTCCTTCGCTCCTAGAGGGAGTGAGGGACCTGCCGCCCCCAAATTGCCACAGGTGCCGCCCCTCTCCTTTGGCCGCCCCAAGCACCTGCTTGTTAAGCTGGTGCCTGGAGCCTGCCCTGAACCCTGTATATGATGGGAACACTTCAAGCCAGTGGTGCAGCAACGCCTATGATTGCTGGTGCTCCTGCAGCCACGCTAGGCTCCAGACCCCTGCGCAGAACAGCGAGTTGTTCCCTCCAAAGCTCTGCACCGCCCCCCACCCCCATGCTCCCTTTACAGCGCTATGATCATAACACAGCCGCACACTGGCCCTGCCCTAGTTCCTAGCCCCGCTCCTGCCTTCTTCCCCGTCCGTGTTCTCAAACGACCCCACCCCTTCATGCAAAATCATGCACCACCTCCTCCTACCAAGCGGCAGCCAAACAACTTCCGGCTCCTGCCAATTTCCTGGGAACTCTCGCCCACGGGGACTTGTCAATCACCAAGTGTTGCCATGGCAGCAGATCCTGGCAAGAGTCCCCACCTAGCTCCTGGGTTTCCATAGCAGCAGTAAACAAACCCTCCCTCTCCCTGCAGGTCCCAGGCTTCTGGAGCAGCTCAGCGCTGGGGTCAGTCCCCCCCCCAAAAACGGGGGGCAGGTTTGGGTGCCCCGGTGCCAGTCTGGACCCAGATCCAGGGCACCCACTGGTGCCGGCATTGGTGGATGGGATAGGGGGCTTCTCCCCTCTAGTCACCAGGCCCCCTCTGGCCCCAGCTGATGCTCCATCCCCACCTGGTGGAGATTTCTCAGGGCCCTTTGTGTGCAGCAAGGTAGTGGGGTCTGCATCAGTGTGACTGGGAGCCTCTGCAGACTGAACTCCTCTCTCCCCTCAAAGGTGGCCCCCAGCGCAGGCCAAGGCACAGCAGCTGGGGGCATGGGTGTAGGTAGGGCAAAGCTCTCCTCGCTGCTGGCAGGCCGGGGTTACACACAGGCCCCCAGGGGCTGCTGGACAGGGCTCTCTGGCCAGAATTAAATTCTCTTCTAGTGGGGCTTTTTCTAGTCTCTGAAGATGTCGGATGAGGAGTTTGATGATGACTACAGTGCCAACGAACGAGAAAAGCAGGGAGAGGAGGGGGAGGAAGAGAAGGAGCCAACAGAGGAGGAGGAGGAGGAGGTAAGGAAGCCTGACATGGAGAGAAGGACTCTGAGCGTCAGGGGAGGGAATCTGTAGGGGAACATGGCTGGGATTAGGGGTGAGCTGAGAGACTGACCCTGCCTTATTTTTGTGAGATGTTATCTCTAAGTCTCTCTTTCTCTGACTGTTTGTTTCTGTCTCTCTCCATTCCTCCCCTCCCCACTTCAGAGCTTGTCTCCCCACCTTCTTACAGAAGAGATCATGAAGGAAGGCCTCTCCCTCTTGTGTAAAACAGGCAATGGCTTGGCTCATGCCTATGTAAAACTAGAGGCAAAGGAAAAGTGAGTGTGGTAACATGAACAATCAAATCCTTCTTCCCCCCACCCACTGGCAGCAGGGTAGAAGCCAACACCCTTCCTGCAGCACCCTTTCTAGGTGGATGGGAGGAGGTTGGGGAAAAAATTCTGGAATAATGATTAATGGGGAAATGGATTGCAGTGCCCAGTAGTGTGGCTTCTTTCTGTATGGGTTTCCATGGTTGGTGGGGCAGCCCACTCAATATTCTGGACAGATCATATTATGAGTTACCTCTGACTGTACCCTGGGATGATGGGAAGGGATATGGGCTTTGGGGCTGTCGCTTTGTTAGTGTCCCTCCTCCCTCCCTGTGTCTGCTTCTCCCCCAATATCTACACAGGCCTGTTCCTGCTCTCCCAAGTCAAAGCTGGCACCAGGAGATGACTGGCCAACTGGAGTTCAGCTTGTTGGTCCAGCAAAGCATTTCTACGGCCCTGTCTCTCTGGTTGGACTCCCAGGTTGCAGCTGGCAGGACATCATGCCCTGGTGGAGACCTCACCACAGTTAGCCAGCCCTAAGTTACCTCTGAGTTACCTCCATTCCAGATCACTTTGATTAGTAGGGTCAGGTAGATGCCCGGATACATTGTTGAGAACACCAATATCAACGTCCAGATAGATACAATGACTGGGTAGATATGACAGATGGATAGTAGATGGACACTCCAGGAAATGCTCTCAGCAGCTCTCCTCTTGTGAGCAGTGGGGAGGCTTAGATGACATCCCCCAGAGCTATGCCCTTTGCACTGATTCCTGGGGCTGTTCAAGTGACTTCACCACCCCAAACTCAGCAGCCACCTGAATTATCCTCTTCCTCACCCACCAGTTGCCAGTAATTCATGGACCCATAAGTGTCATGGGGGGAGGACACTATTGGGAGACTTTGGAACTTACATCCCTGTGAACGGAGCCCCCACCCTGGCCATGTCCACCAGGTACTAGAGAGACCTTCCTGTCTTTCATTAATCAGGAGCAGCCCTTGCTGTTTTGCTGGACAGGGTGGAAAATGTTTTCTGCACCCTATGCCTGAGCGGACTTGCAAAAACAAAAAACAAAAAAAGGGTAGCCAATCAGGAGAGGTTGGGGGCCCTGGAAGTTGGTACCCAGGTCAACCGCCCTGCTCGCCTGCCCCTAAAACCAGCGCTGTCACTAATTATGTATTCCAGCCTCCTAGCCCTGCAGCCTTGTCCTTCCCCATCTCCCTCTTTTCCCCACCCAGCCCTCAATGCTAAGACCACTATCTGATGGACTTATCTCTTCACAGCCTCTCTGGGTTTCCTCCCCTCAGTTTCTGCCTGCTCCTGACAGCTCCTTCTCCATTCCTGAGAGGGGTCTCCACCTAGGGGTCCCTCAGGGCTCTGCTTCCAACCCCTCTGCTCACTCCACCATCTGCCTTCTCCCTCCTTTTCATGTCCAGAGAAGCTTCTCCAGACCAGATGTAGGTAGGCTGTAGAGGAGGGGACTGGCTCCCCAACAGTGAGGAGGGGCAGAGTGGAGGTCAGCTCTGGGAGGAGAGGGATGGGAGGAAGAAATCTGGATGTTTGTTTCACATCCTCATCCTGTGGCAGGGACCTGACAGATATCAGCCTTCTCCAGAACTACATTCATTTGCGTTATGTGGACTTGTCAGAGAACCAGCTGCGAGATCTGTCTCCTCTGGGCAGCCTCATCCACCTTCTGTGGCTGAAGGTGGATGGGAATCGGCTGATCAGCGCCCGTCTCCCAGAGCTGCCCTACCTTCAGATTGCCAGCTTCACCCACAACCGAATCAAGGACACGGAGGGCATTACCCACCCACGCCTGGCCAGCCTCAACCTTAAAGGTGAGGTGGGTGTGTACCAGGCCTCACCACAAAGAAGTGCTCCTTGCTGTGTGCTGGGAAGGGAACGCTGGAGGGATTAACCCTTTTGCTGCTTCCTTCTCTGTCACTCAGGGAATGAAATCCAGGTGATATCGGGTCTGGATCCAGGGAAGCTGACAAACCTGCACACGGTGGAGCTGCGAGGAAACAAGCTAGAAACCACCACAGGGCTGCACCTGCCCAAGCTCAAAAACCTTTACCTGGTAAGAGCACCTCACCTCAGGGGCATTATGCTGCAGAGAGTGGTGGGAGACTCCATTGGGGTGTCCATGAGCCAGTGTGGTGGTAGGCCAGCACTGTGCAGCCTTGTCAGCCTGAGAGATTAACGTGTTTCAAAAAGGTCAGAGGATCACAATCAATTCTTTGGGGCAGATTCTGTGATCTATTGTGTTCCCAACATGCTCAGTCAGTGGCTCTCAGCTTCTCCTTTTTAACCTATCCCCTTTGCTGCCCTGGGTAGCAGTGTAAGGGAGAACAGCATCTTGTGCCGAGCAAGTCAAGCTCCTATCCTGCACACTCTGGGGCTCCCTCAGCAGGCAATGGAACAACCAGAGTTACTCTCTTCTCTCTGTGATGCAGCAGGCAGCCTGCAGGGAAGCTGCTGAGCAACTGCAGCAGATAAAGCACTGCAGGTGCTCAGAGACCTCCCAGCTAGACCAGCTTCTGTGGCTGCAGGGGATGTGACTTCCTTTAGCTCCTCTGTGACCCTCACTCCTGTCCCTGTTTTTCATTAGTTGTAGCCCCGGAACTACTTGAGATCTGGGTCTGGCAGCTCCTCCCCTTAGGTTGGGGGAAGGGAGGGACCTTTAGATGTGGGTGGGCTTGTGCCCATCCGCTCTAAGGGTACGTCCAGACTACCTGCCGGATCAGCGGGTAGCGATCAATCTATCAGGGATTGATATATCGCATCTCATCTAGACGCGATATATCAATCCCCGAACGCGCTCCCATCGACTCCGGAACTCCACCAGGGCGAGCGGTGGTAGCGGAGTCGACGGGGGAGCCTTAGCCGTCGATCCCGCGCCGTGAGGATGGGAGGTAAGTCGAAATAAGATACGCAGCTTCAGCTACAGGAATAGCATAGCTGAAGTCGACGTATCTTACATCTTACATGTTACCCACTCTGGATACCTGCACTCCCATCCTTTTGTTTCCCCTTTGTCGTCTCTGGAATCATTTGAGCTTTGGGTCCAGTAGTTCCTCACCTTAAGCTGGGGGTGGGGCTTTATATGTGGGCAGGTTTGCACCCACCCATCCCCCTAATCTTCAATAGGTGCAGGATATGAGGTGTGAGGCAGGTAGGGAGATGGTGCTGTCTTCCTTCTCCCTGACAGGGCTGATTCCAACCCCAGTTTTGAAAGTGTTGTGCAGGTTTTCTTTGAGACTGAGGACTGATAGGTCAGAGAAAGAACTTGTCAGCACTTGAAAGGATTGCATCTTGGATCAGCTAAAGCTAGAGCAGCCAGGAGGAGAAGCTATTCCTAACTTAGTCCTAAGTAATATTCAGTGACAGGAGCTAGCCACTAAGTAATAGTGACTACAATAATTTGGGGACTTCAACAGCTGAGTCAAAGGAGAGAATTATTCCAGGAGTGGGTGGGTCAGCTTTTGTGGCCTGCATCATGCAGGAGGTCAGACTAGATGATCATAATAGTCCCTTCTGACCTTAAAGTCTATGAGTCTATGAGAAAATTAGGTTCAACATCCAAGGGGCAGGTAGGGTAACAAAAAGTGATACAGTGAGTGACCCTAAGCTTTATAAAGGGAGATTTCAGTAAAATAAGATTAGTCAAAAAGACCCTAAATTAAAAGTAAAAGAAGTAAAGTCCTTAGATTTGACAAGGATACTACCTAAGAAAACTATGGATGGAGGAGGCGATGGCGTAGGAAGGAGGGTTTTAAGTTTATTAGGAACTGGGAACCTTTTAGGAAAGGAGGAGCCCATATAGGAAGAATGGGCTCTATCTAAACCAAAAGGGAACCAGATTGCTGGCATGTAAAATTAAAATCCTTGAGAGGATTTTGAAAAGTAATGACTGGGAGAAAGCCGACGGAGGCAGAGGAGCAAACAGTTTGGGCAGAGACACCTCTTAGTAGGGCGACCAGATGTCCCGATTTTATTGGGACTGTCCCGATATTTCCTTGTTTGTCCCGCGTCCCGACTGATGTGCAGTTGGGACACTGGACAAACAAGGAAATGCTCCGGAACCTGGAAGTGCTCGCCCCCCCCCCCCCCCCCCGACTCCGCCCCCTCCTCCCCCCATTGGCTCCCTCCCCGAATCCCCGCCTCTTCCCCAGGCTCACCATTCCTCCTCCCTCCACAAGCGCTGGAGGGAGGCCCAGGAGACGCAGGGGAAGCGCGGGGCCAGGGTGAGTGAGAGTCCGGCCTGGCCCCGAGCAGGCAGGACTCAGTCGGGCGGTAGGGAGAGGAGGGGGGCGGCCCGCGGGGCCAGGCGGCGGCTGTTCTCCCCCCCGGGCAGCGGGACTCGGGAGCAGCCGCTGCTGCAGCTCCCACTGCCGCGGGGGGAGGAAGCGGCCGATGGCCAAGCTCGGCGGCTGCGGCTCTGGTGCCCGGGCCGGAACCCCCCGAGCCTGGGCCTGCTGCGGGGACCTAGCAGCACGCACGCTGCGCCCAGCCCCTGGCCAGTCGCGTCTGGGCTGCTGCCCAGCTGGTGCTATCCCGCGGCGGCCCCGGAGTGGGGGCATCAGCAGCCCAGCCCCGTTCGTTCCCCTGCGGGACCCGAGCGGGACGGGGGGGCTGGGGCCTGCTGCCCCCACTCCGGGGCCGCCGCGGGATAGCACCAGCTGGGCAGCAG